TCCCTGAGTGGTACAAATGGTTAACACACTTGGTCTGCTAACCAAAAAGTTAGAGGTTCATGTCCACCCAAAGACACCTCAAAAGAAAGGCTTGGCAAGCTAGTTTCAAAAAAATCAGCTTTGAAAACCCTATGGAGCACAGTTCTACTCTGACACACATGGGAGTCGCTCTGAGTTGGAATCAGGGCTCAGGTTCATTCCAGTCCGACACACCTGCTGAGAATCTGCATTTTCACCCCACCAGAATGAACCTGTTTGAAGCCTTGGATGGAACTGACTCATCAGAAATTGGGTAACTGATTATCTAACACATCCATTTTTTTCCACAAAATACTGGATGGATATAAAAATACATTTGTGCCTGAATGAATGAGTAGTCAAATGAAGAATGCCCAGGCACTGCAATAGCAATGCCCTCAACTTATGGGAAAGGTATCATTGTACAGAACAGAAAATCTCAACACTCAATTCTGCCCACCCTATCCCCAACTCACAGCAGCTCACAGTGAGTCATTCAATATTTTCCCATGGAGCCTGAAGCTGTTTCCAAAGGAAAGTGGCAAGAGGAAGGAAACTAGCTGCCTTCCTGGTTCACCAAAAGTTCATAATACTTTTGGAACTGTCTGCAAGTAGACCAGATAAAGAGGACATTTTATTCATTATTATTGTTCCTTAAGGGGTAATCTGAGTCTATTTTATTTGGTTTGAGTCTATTTTGGGAGCGTGGACAGACTTCAGTCAAAGAAGGAGACGCACAAAATTTAGCAGCTGCTGAGATGGGCACTAACCAATCAGAGCAGACCCTGGCCAAAGCTGGTGAGACTTAGTGACGCCCACCATACATGTGAACAAAAACTGGAATTACTGTGGTCACCACCTCATTTCTTGACATACGGATGAGATGGCACGTTAACAGAAACACCCTATGTCCCTAAATACGCTTACATTTACTAGTGCAGGAGGTCAGGACTTCAATGTATCATTTTGGGTCATACAATTTGCTCCATAACAGGCCTGGACCCAGACTCTGGTATCATCCATTTCCTGCCCCATGGGACTGGATGATACAACAGGCAAGAAGCTACTGGTCTCCCACTCCATTGGGTATATCTGGGGGATTACTCTCACCTTACTAGTCAGCCAATGGTAAAACATCTATAAAAGTTAAGTACCTCACCCACTGCCATGCTGGACTAAAAGAAAAAAAAAAAAAACCCACACCCACTGCCACTGAGATGATTCCAAGATAATGACCCTATAGGACAGCAGAAGTGCCCTACAGGGTTTCCAAGGTTGTTAATCTTTACAGGTGCAGACTGACTTATCTTTCTCTTGCTAAGTGGCTGGTGGGTTCAAACTGCCAACCTTTTGGTCAACAGCCAAATGCTTTAACCACTGTGCCACCAGAGTGCCTTAAATGCTGAGTGGCATCAATGAAACCATGTTTTAGAAAAGTATATGGGCCCTGTTTCACTTACATAGTGAATCAATGTCTATGAAGCCCTCTCTGGGCAGTGGTGGTTCAGGGGCAGGATTCTTGCCTTCTGTGCAGGAGACCTGGGTCTGACTGCAGACCATGCACCTCACGTGCAGCCACCACCCATCTGTCAGTGGAGGCTTGCGTGTTGCTATGATGCTCAACTCTGGTGGCATAGTGCCTAAGGCACTTGACTGCTAACCAGAAGGCTGGAGGTTCAAACCCACCAGCACTCCTCAGAAGGAAGATGGGGCAATCTACTTCTGTAGTGATACTGCCTCGGAAACCCAAGGAGGGGTCGCTATGAGTCAGGGCCAACTCGATGGCACATAACAACGTGATGCTGAACAGGTTTCAGCAGAGCTTCCGGACTGAGACAGCCGAGGAAGAAAGGCCTGGAGATTGACTTCTGAAAATCAGCCAGTGGAAACCCTATGGATCACAGTGATCTGGCCCCTTTGGGTATGGGGTTGCCATGAGTCAGGAGCTGACTGAACAGCAGGTACTGAACACATGTGCTCACGGCATTGAGTACCAAGCCCCTGGAACAGTCAGTGTTCCTACACAAGGGTGCTTAAGTCTACCTGGGGAAGCCAACATGTAAATAAATGACAACACAGGTCAGCTCTCCACCGTCATCCTCAGAGTGCTGGGTGAGGAAGGAAGGGCAGTTGCTGCTTGGAGCATCTGGGAGAGCGTCAGAGGAGGTACTTCCAGCAGGGACCCCAAGAGCAGAGAAAGACTGCACCACAACAAAGCGCAGGTAACATGCCTATTCTAGTGTCTATAAAGTATTTTTGGTCAGTTCAGCCTGTCTGTAAAATACACACGTCAGCATCTGACGGTCCCTAATCAGGAACTCAGACCACAGGGTGGCGGGTAGGTAGCATTTCAAAGTACTTCATCAGTAGTCCAAACTACAATTGCAGCTGCGGTAAGCCCTTAGCTTTCTAAATCTACAGTGAACAATTTCCTAATTAGCAAATGATTTGTTAGGAATCATTTTTCTCTGATGGCATTCAAATCATGTGGCTAGAAAACACAGGCATCCCAGCACCGGTGGGAATAGGCAGAGGCCTGTGGGAAGCCCAGAATTTTTATTGTTGGCTGCCGTTGAGTCTATTCTGACTCCTGGTGTCCTTATGCACAACAGAAAACGTTGCCCAGTCCCTCAACATCCTTACAATCGCCAGCATGTCCAAGTCCATTGTTGTGGCTAGCGGGCCAATCCTTCTTACCACGGAAGGTCTCCCTCACCCCCAGTGGTCCTCACCCTCACCAAACATGATGTCCTCCTGCGGCAACTGATCCTTCCTGAGGATGTGTCCAAAGCAAGCCAGTCGGATAGTGTCCTGTTGTGATCCATAAGGTTTTCTTGGCTACGTTCTGGAAGTAGATTGCCAGGCCTTTGTTCCTACTTTTCAGGCTCCACTGAAAGTTGTCCACCGTGAATGGTATTTGAAATACCAGTAACATAGCTTTTAGCATCACAGCAGCATGTACACACCACAGTACGACAAACTCACAGACGGGTGGTGGAGCCTAGTATTAGGAAAACCTAATACTCTTCAGAGAGACGCTCAGGGGTAGGATTCCAGTGAGGTCCTGTGGCCCATCCCGAAGCAAGTTTGTCACTTGACTCAACGAGGTAAAAACTGAATCCTCCTGCTAGAAACTGGCCCATTTGTTTATAATGAAACATTCATGAAAAGTCCTTGAGTAAAGCTAGGCTTCACTAATCCTACAAGAATAGGTTGCATAACTATTTTTGTGGCTAGTTAATGAATGATTGCACATGTGGCAGACAGAGTTGAGCCTAAAACATGCTTTCTCTGTAACTTAACCCTAGGGAGAGGGACTGTGGGAGTCCTGGGTAGTGTTCAACTACCAGCCAGCAGGCTGGCAGGGCCACTCACAGGTGCCTCAGAAGAAAGGTCTGGCAATCTACTTCTGAGAGGACACAGCCTTGAAAACCCTGTGGAGCACAAATTCTAATCTGATGCTTCAGTGGCTGCCGTGAGTCGGAATCAACTCAACGGCATGGGTTTGGCTTTTGTCCGAGAGAGGCTGCAGGGAGAGGTGACCTATAACTTCCCCATCTCTTAATCACCACAGGTTGGTCCAATTGGGAGGTCAGTTTGTAACAGTTTTCAAGAAGCTCTGCCTCTGGGGTGTCTGCATAAGCACTTTTAAAGCTCTGCCTCAAATTTAATAATTTGTGTAGCTGAATGATGGATATATGGGCTACAGAGAGAGAAAAGTGGTATATCAGCTTAGTGTACTGAGTTAACAGAGGAACTAAAACCCAACATGTTTGAAAGTCATTGCCTATGGGGAATGGGACTCTGGGGCAGCCATTTTTTACAGATTAAAATTTTACACGGTTTGTGTATTGCTTTGTCAAAAATAAAAGCAATTTTGCAAAAGGGGAGTTAATGAGTCGAAGTCAGATGCATGCTAAAATCATGTTCTAGTACCCCAATATGAAGTCACTAAATTGCAAAAATCAGTTAATGATAAATGCAGTGAAAATTTTAAAAATAATGAAAAAGCCCAAACTGCTACATTTTTTGCAGTACCTGGAAGACATTCAGTCCTTTCCTCTGCCCCTATTTTTACCAGTATGTCCCTCATACTGGGCTTGGCACTTCTCCAAGGCTTTGCTGCCTGCTCCATCTGATGGGCTCCCAAAGCAATATGCAACCCCACTTACATCACTTTGGTCCAATAGCTGATTGTCATACATAAATCCATGATTTAATCCAAAAGGCACACTTTCCTGGTATTAATTAATTGCTGTCAAGACGATTAACCTCTGCAGGGGATTTTCTCCCACTGGCTGCTCTAAGGCTCAAGTCCAAAGGTGGACGCTTGCTTGCTCAAGTTTGCCACCTGGTGGCCAGTTGATAAAGACCAGCATTCCCTGGGCTTCCAGGAGCTGGCGCTGGTTTCATCCAGTGCAGAGGTTCTCACCCCAAGTGCACATTAGATTCACCTGGGCACTTTAAAATCCCCAAACCCAGATCACATCTCAGACCAATTAAATAAAAATCTCTGCAGATGTAACCCAGGAATGCCCATTAGAATCCAAGGTGAGCCATTCAAAATTATGCTTCCGGGGACACCCGTTTCCCAAGGGGTGGAGCTCTTGCCTCCAGCATGAATCTCCTGGGCATCAACCTACTCTTGGTCAAGGGCTAGCAGTCTAGTTCAGTACTCCCTACATCTGCCCGATGAGAGGCATTGTGTTAACAGAGATGTCCAGGTCCCTCGTTGGTTCACATTCACAGATACTGAGGGAACTTTGAGAATTGGTATGTTTACCCAGACACAAGGCTCAAAGAGGGTGCAGGAGTTATCCAATACCACAAGCCAAGAAGAGCCAGGCTGGAACTTTAACCTTAGTCTTTTGGTCCCACCCTGAACCTCATGCTTCTTAACTCTGCTGGAAGGGAATTCTTTATTTTAGTGAGTTAAAATTCTTATGGATGCAAAAGAAAAATTAAAATAAGCCAAGAAGTACCCCAAATGAGACATCATAGTCCTCAAATGTATAAGGTTTGTCTGCAAGGTCTTCAAAAAACTCTGCTAGGGAGTCCAGTGTTTCCTCTGCCAGTCTTTCATAGGTAGTCTCATCTAGAGAGCTGAAGGGGGGACATAAAACAAAAAATACACGATTACCAAACCACCCCATTTCTTTATATCAAATTTACATGTTTGTTTCTTATTCAAATTTTTTAAAAAGAACCTCACATGTTGTTGTTGTTAGGTGCCAACGAGTCAATTTCAACTCACAGAGACCCCAGAAGACAGAGTGAAACTGTCCCACAGGGAATTCTAAGCTGTGATCTTTACAGAAATAGACTACTGGAACTTTCTACTGAGGAGCTGCAGGGTGGGTTCAAACCGCCAACCTTTCAATTAGCAGCCAAACGCTTAAACATCGCATGATTTGGGCTCCTTAACACACATGTACAGAGTGAAAATTAAGTAGCATGAAAAGGTTTACAGAAAGATGTGCACCAGGGAGACAGCTCAGGGGACAGGAATGTATGGAGGATGGACACTGAGAAAAGGTAACTATGGGGAGGAAGTGGGAGGGGAGCTGTTGCATTGTGGTAAACTGTGGTCAATGACATGAGACAAAGTACATTATGTAAAATGCTGTATGGAAAGTGAATTTGCTCTGTAAATCTTCACCCAAATCACAATTAAAAAAAAAAAAAAGAAAGAAAGATGTGCGCTCATCTTCCCAAACAGGCAGCCTCCACTGCCAGAGGCAATTGGGATTAACAATCTGTTAGGTTCTGCTAGAATTTTGTATTTTAAAAATACCTACAAATGAAGCACCTTGCATTTTTCATTTACTATGTCTCAGGTTGTATTCCATATGAGTACATATGCTTTTTCTATTGTTGTAAAAAAATATATCACACATTTGCCAATTCATCATTTGAGCACATATGCATTTTCATAGCATTTTATTTAACCAGTCCCTTTCAGCTGGACATGAAGGGTGTTTCCACTGCCTGTTATTGACATTTACGTTGGGTAAACTACACAGTGAGAGGAAGTATTTGTATTACATATATCTGACAAAGGGCTCATAGCCAGAATATTTAAAGAACTCCTCCAAATGAATACCCCACTAACCAACTCGTAGTGACTCTACACACAGAGTAGAACTGCCCCCATAAGTTTCCAAGGCTGTAAATCTTTACAAAAGCAGACTGCCATAACTTCCTCCCATGGAGCACCTGGTAGGTTCAAACTGCCAACCTTCTGGTTAGCAGCTGAATGCTTAAACCACTACACCACCATAGCTCCTTTCCAAGTCAATAAGAAAACTCAAAATGGGAAAAATACTTGAGCAGATTTCATAAAGAAGTATGCAAATTGCCAATAAATATATGAAAAGGTGTGTAACTTTGTTAATCTTTAGGAAAATACAAATTGAAAAAAAAAATCACAAGATACCACAAGAACAGTTAAAATGAAAAGACAGATAGTATTAAGAGTTGGAAGGAACTAGAGCCTTCAGACACTGTAGATGGGCAAGTGAACTGGATAATCACTTTGAAAACTATTGGGAGGACCTCTAGTAAGATGGAGGAGTAAGCAGACAAGCTACACAGACCCTCTTCAACAAAGAAAAGAACAATTGACAGGGATACAGAAGATAATCCTGGAGCCCAGAGCTTTGAAAGGAAGTACACAGAAGTGGATTAGGCACCAACTAGTGGAAAAGCCTGAATGAAAACTGTGAGTACGGAGTACGGTTGGAACAGTGGACTGTCAGCTACTCTGACAGGATGGACAGCCTGAATATTTCCAAATGGTGTTGAGACCTAAGACTTGACCTAAGGATCAGGCCTTGTTGCCAATGGCTGCAGGGACAACTGCACTGGTGGCCTATGACTAGGAAGGGAAACAGCAAGGCAGACAATCTGAACTGTGGACTTTCAGCTGTCCAGAGGGTACAGCCATTTTGAGTGTTTATACGCAGTGGCCATTTGGGGTATTTAAAGTGACAGCATTCTCATTCAGATTCCAGGGACCTAAGAATAGGCTCTCCACTTGCCAAGGACGGCAAGGACATATGAGGCTCACAATGGGAAAGGAGAAAGGTGGTGAGTGTATAAGTGCTGCCAACTAGCAAATAGAGGAGCACAGCACAGTACCCTGCTTGTGTAGATAACATACAAACAAAACAAAGAAACAAAAATCATGGGCAGGTCACTCCAACATACAATCACCAATTAAATATAAACACACAAACATCACAATGCCTCAGAGACAAGAGAGCATCACAGTTCACACAAAGAAGCAAGATAAAGCAGGAGAAACAAGGGACCAGGATATAGACCCAGCCCATCCCTGAAGAAGATGCAGCATTGGAACTCCCTGTTAAGGAATTCAAACAAATTATATTTAGGTATCTTCAACGAATTGAGAGACAGATCAAGGAAAACACTGACAAAAGTGAGGAAAACAGACAAAACCCTAGAACAATTTTGAAACACAATATATGGACAAAATGACAAAATAAATGAAAAATTAGAAGTGATACAAAATCTACACACAGAAATCCAGAAGATTAATATGAAATTTTCAGAAATAGATAACACATTGAACGGGAAAAGGAGTAGAATTGAGTCAATGGAAGACCGAATTAGTGAGATTTAAGGCAAATGCCTCAATACTTCTTTGGAAAGGGATCAAGCAGAAAAAAGATGAAAACAAAATGAAGAAAGCCTAGGGTTCACATGGGATACCATCAAAAGGAATAACCTATGTGTAATCAGTATTCCAGAACAGGAAGAGACAAAACCACAGAAAAAAATGTTAAAGATTTGTTGGAAGAGAATTCTCCTGGTATGATAAAAGATGAGAATATATCCATTCAAGAAGTCCTATGAACCCCAAACAGGATAGACCCCAAAAGAAAATCACCAAGACATATCATCATCAAACTCCCCAAAAACAAAGACAAAGAAAAAATCCTGAAAGCAGCATGGGAAAAACGAAAAGTTACCTACAAGGGGCAACCAATAAGACTAAGCTCGGATTTCTTGGCAGGAACCATGTAGGTGAGAAGACAATGGGATGGTACATATAAAACCCTGAAAGAGAAAATTTTCCAACCAAGAATTTATACCCAGCAAAACTGTCCCTCAAATATGATGGTAAAATTAGGACATTTCCAGATAAGCAGAAATTAAGGGAACAACCTTACAACCAGAACAACCTTACAAGAAATGCTAAAGGGAGCCCTTTGGACAGAGAACAACAGCAAACAACAACTGACCATTAACACACATGATGACAAATCCAGAAACCAACCCAGTTATAGAAGTATCCAAAGTAAATAAGCCTGCAAGATTGTAAACAGGGAACCAGAGACATCAATTGACAAGTGAGGACAATTACAAATCAAAAAGAGGGAAAAAACTGTGTAGTTACAGAACTTCTAAATGGTAGGGAAGTCAAGACAACAATATGATAGAATGGACTATTTTAAACTTGGGAAGAAAACTACAAATCACAGGGAACCTCAAAGAAAAATGATAAACCTTCACATCAAAATAGAAAAGAGGACCAGCAAAAATATTTAACAAATATTAAAACAATAGCAATGAAGAAGGGATAACATGATTCATAAACAAAATAAGCTCAGCACAGAAAATTATACGGAACAAAGAAATCAACACCACGAAAAAGCACATAACAAAATGACAGCAACAAATTCATATTTGTCAATAATTACATATCTGGCAAGGGACTTATCTCTAAAATTTATAGAAAACTACCACCTCAAAAAGATTAACAATCCAACTGAAAAATGGGCATAAGACATGAATAGACACTTCACCAAGGAGGATATTCAGGAAGCCGGCAAATATTTGAAGAAATGCTCACGATCACTGGCCATCAGAGAGATGCAAATCAAAACAACAATGAGATACCGTCTCACTCCAGCACTGATGGCAAGGTTCAACGAGACAGAAAATAACAAATGCTGGCAGGGATGTGGAGATACTGGGACTCTCATACACTGCTGGTGGGACCGTGAAGTGATACAACCACTGTGGAAAGCAATATGACAATTCCTTAGAAAGCTGGAATTGCAGATACCATTTGACCCAGCAATCCCATTACTAGGTATATATCCCAGAGAGGTAAGAGCCAGGACAGGAAAAGATATATGTACACCCATGTTCATCGCATCACTATTTACAATAGCAAAAAGATGGAAACAACCTACGTGCCCATCAACGGAAGAATGGATGACCAAACTATAGTACATACATACAATGGAATGCTATGCAGCACTAAGGAATAATGCAGAATCTGCAAAACACCACATAACATGGATGACTTGGAGGATATTATGCTGAATGAAATAAACCAATCACAGAAGGACAAATATATATCAGTTCATTGTTGTGAAGGGTCAAGGAAAGTTAATATATGGAGGGAAACTTTCTTGGTTGTCAGGGGTGGAAGGGGACAGGAGGGAACACTGCCAAAAAAAAAAATGTATTGACCCATGCATGTCACTTTAGTTTTGTGTATTCCACTATACATGTATTTCAAAAAAATGCTTTAAAAAATAAAATAAAATCATTGGGTGATATCTACCAAAGTTGAATATAGTCATACCTATCACTTCCACTCTGGGGAATATGCCCAAGAGTATATACATACAGAAATGCATATACATGTTCACCAAAAGACATGTACTAGAATGTTAAAACTCTCCAATAGGCCCAAACTAGAAACTGACCAACTGTCCATAAGTAATATAATAGATAAATAAATTGTGGTATATTCATATTCATTTGTCAATTGATGTCTCTGGTTCCCTGTTTACAATCTTGCAGGCTTATTTACTTTGGATAATTCTATAACTGGTTGGTTTCTGGGTTATGTCATCATGTGTGTTTTACTGACTACGCAAAAGCATTCAACTGTGTGGATCATAATGAACTATGGATAACATTGTGAAGAACAGGAATTCCATAACACTTAATTGTGCTCCTGCAGAACTTATACATAGACCAAGAAACAGTCGCTTGAACAGAACAAGGGGATACTGCATAGTTTAAAATCAGGAAAGGTGTTTGTAAGGGGTATATCCTTT